AGGTTGACGTTGTCAAAGATTTCTTTTTGCTTGGATCCAACAATCAACACTCATGGAAGCAGCAGTCAAGAAATCAAATGCTGTATTGCATTAGGCAAATCTGCTGCAAAAGACCTCTTTAAAGTGTTAAAGAACAAAAATGTCAGTTTGAGAACTAAGGTGTGCTTTACTCAAGTCATGGTATTTTCAGTCACCTCATATGCACGTGACAGTTGAACAATGAATAAGGAATAATGTAGAAGAATCGATGCATTTAAGTTATGGTGTTGGAGAAAAATATTAAAAGTACCATGGACTTCCAGAACAACAAACAAATCTGTGCTGGAAGAAGTACAGCCAGAATACTCCTTAGAAGCTAGAATAGCGAGACTTCACCTTTCACACTTTGGAGTCTTGGTATGGCGCTGTGGGGTAAAGCACTGGATTGCAAGGTTGGTTTCAACCACAAGGTCAGCAGTTCAATCTCACCAACTGCTCCTTCAAATGTGTCACTATAAGTCAGAACCGACTGGACACACTTAACAACAACTTCGGTTATGTTGTCAGAAGGGACCAGTTCTTTTCAAAAGACAGCAAAAAAGGGAAAGATTCCCAATGAGATGGACTGACACAGTGGCCGCAGCAATGTGTTCAAATGTAACAATAATCGTGAGGATGGTGCAGGACTGGGCAGTGTTTTATTCTGTTGTGCATATGGCTCAGAACCAACTTAACAGCACCTAACAACATCTAACAGAGAGCGAAGGCCTCGCTAAGAAGGTGGTGGCACAATCTGAACAAGGTGATGGCACAATCTATGAAAATATCTAGAGGGAGAGCATTCCAACAGTGAAACAATTAGTACAAACACTCTGATAGCGTAGTGGTTACGAATCAGGCTGCGGGCCGCAAAGTCAGCAGTTCGAAACTACCAGCTGTTCCGCGGGAGAAAGATGAGGCTTTCTGCTCCTGTAAAGATTTATAGCCTCGGAAACCCTTTACAGGGTAGCTATGAGTCGGAACCGACTCCACGGCACATAACAACAACAACAACAAGATAGGAAAATGCCTGAAATAGTAAGAAGGCCAATCTGGCTGAAGCAGAGAGAGTGAGAAGTGGTATAGGCTAACTGGAGACCTCATGATGTAGGGTGTTTTCAGCCACTTTAAAGCATGGCTTCAAACCAGTTCAGTCATGGGTGATGCAGTGAAATCAGAACAGACATGACTTAATAAATTCTAGGTATATTGGAACAATAACTGGACTGGGAAATACTATGGGTCAAAGCCCATACTATAATGGAAGACTCAGAAGAGGCATAGTGAACTCTTTCAGGAACCCAATGCAGGAGATTGGATTATTGCTAGTCCTGTGGAAAGAGACACATATTTAAAGTAACGCTGTCAACCACCATCATTGAAAATAGCACAGTTGTTTGTGATTCTGCTATTCAAGAGATTTGGTTGCTTTGCACCACGCATGCTACCTTCTTTTCTAGAAGGGAGATTGTTTCTTGCTGGATATCAACTCCTAATTTTTCACTTTCTGGTTATTGTTCTGGTACACCACATTTTATAAATTTGCATGCATTCCAGTTTCGCTTCATCAGTTGTGATTGAACCCGGAAGAACTGGTTCAAAGACCTTAGCTTTAATTATGAGGGAGATGAGAAGTCTCTGATGGGAAGGTAACAGAGAGCCGTTGCAGGATGTTGAGCAGGGAAATGACATAATAAAAAGGGCTTTTAAGAAGATTGGTTTCTTAGCAGTAGACGGGAGGGCTTGAGTAGAAGAATCAGTGTGGGAAGAATCTAGACTAGAGTGATAACTGCTGTTGTTGTGTGGAAGGCAAATATAAGTGACACTGGAGAGAAAGAAACGCAGAACTTAATGACCGATTATTTATAGAAAAAGAACAGAAGTTTATGGTTCAATTTAATCAAGATTTATGGTTGATCTACTGAGGACAAAAAAGCCATAACTAGCTAGGACTAGGGAGTGGGGGTGGGACATAAAACTGTTCACTCTCCAGGGGCTTCCAGCCTGGTATGCTTTGTCCCTGCCCTGAACCTTTTAAACTTGAACCAGGGCTTCAAATCAGATCATTCTGGTTTGACCTGCTGCTAAGAATCTACTGTTTCAACACAGGTATACTTAATTGGTTCTATAGTTTGGATCAGCCCTGGACTGTGAACCACATGATCAGCAGTTCAAACCCACCAGGTGCTCCTGAACAGACTGGAGGGAACTTAACAACAACATAGTTTAACAAGATCCCTATTCTTACAGACCTTAGGGATCTTGTTAAAATGCAGATTGATTCAGCATATTTGGGGTATAAATGCAAATTCTCAGCATGGGGTCAACTTGGAATGAACTAGTTCAAAGCCCTGGCTTGAATATCTTGGACTGCCACAACTGTAGCTGGCTCACGGCCTGGCTGAACTGCTCAAGATAAGAGCTGAATTTTACCCTCTGAGCTTGTTGCCTCTCCTGGGAACAAAGGCCAAATCACCTCTGCTTGATTAGTAAAAATAGACAGCTCTGGTTTGGCAAGAGGACAGAAAAGAGGTCTTATTAAATATCTCTGGAGATCAAAGTTACAGAAGGGTCCTGGGCCACCAGTTTTGAGGTAAGGCGTCCTGATTTGCGTCTATCTAAGGAGTGCTGGTGTGGCCCTGTGAGTTAATGTGCTAGACTGCAAAGCCCTTTGAACTACAATGTCGGTAGTTCAAGCTCACAAATCGACTTGACGGCACTTGACAACAACAACAAGGGGAATAATGGAAGTTCTGGTGTGGCACTGTGGGTTAATGAGTCAGACTGCAAAGCCATTTGAACTGCAAGGTCAGTGGTTCAAGCTCACCAGCTGCTCCTCGGAAACCCTATACAGGGTCACTTTGGGTCGGAATCGACTGGAGGCTTGATTAGTAAAAATAGACAGTTCTGGTTTGCTTGCTTAGTAAAAATAGACAGGTCTATACTGGGTCGCTTTGGGTCGGAATCCACTCAGTGGCACTAAACAACAACAACAAGGAGTCCTGGTGTGGCACTGAGGATTAATGCATTGGACTGCAAAGTCAGTTTGACGTGCAAGCTTGGTGGTTCAAGCTCACCAGCTGCTCCTCAGAAACCCTATATAGGGTCACTATGGGTCGGAACTGACTTAACAACAACAACAATAGCAAGTGGTGGGTCTCCTCATCTTTATAATTCCAGTCAAGAGAAAAGGCCCCAAAGTATGGAGAGGTAAAGAATCAAGCTTAAGGGAAACAACAGGGTGGGGGGTAAAAAAAAACAACCGAACTTGAATATTGCTGATTGGCAGACTTGCAAGGTCCTAAGAACAGATGCAAATATGATGCAAATAATATGCAAATAGCTCTGTGACCTTCTGACCAGTTTTATACAACTGGGAAAACTGCTAGCAGACAAAAGTGACTCAGAGGCAAAGTGAACTATTTCAAGATAACTTTGTCTCACAGACCTTTGCTGCCCTGCTAGCACAGGCACATTCTTCAGTATTTTTTTTTTTTTTTCTCACTTGAAACGACGTCACCTGCTGAACATCAAGAAAATATCAAGTCTGTCTTTGTAGAGGTTATCTAAGTTAATTACACTTGTAAAATAATCTGTATACCTTTTATTTTTCTTCAAACACCTCTCTCATCCAAGTTTCATGTGTCACTTCCTCCCTAGAAAAATATTTGGTTCCAGTAGGTTATGAATGAAAAATGTTTCTCTTTCAGTTTTAGTTACTATGATCCTTTGAAGGTTTTCTCCCTATTGCATAGGAATCTGACACATTCTAATATAGCACAATAGAAGTACTAGAATGCTTACTGAAAGGTCAGCAGTTCAAACCCACCTGCCGCTCCTTGGAGACTCTATATAGGGTCACTATGATTCAGAACTGACTCAATGGTACTAACAACAACAACATATCCAGGAACACTAGTGGCACTGTAAAACACAAAGTGGACAGTTGAAACCCACCAGAGGCTCCAAGGGAGAGAGATGAAGCTTACTGCTCTTATAAAGATTTACAGCCTTAGAAACCCTATATATTGCTTCTATGAGTTCAAATGCAGTCAATGGCACTTCACAACAATCTAATATCCAGAATCTGTATTAAAAGTGAACACGGAAAATAAGAAAACACCCATAATCATATATACCAAAATCACATTGACATTGAGAGTTCCAACTCGTAGCGACCCCATATACAGTTTCTGTGATTCAGACAGTCTCATTTTTCTACTGTGAGGCAGCTGGTGGGTTTGAACTACCGTCTGGTTCAATGCCTAACCCAAGGATCCACTGAAAAGCCATTCATTAAGAGAAGCTGCATGCCAAAAAGGGTGTGGTATTGATCATCATAACTACAAATGCTAAAATGAAAAACCATACATTCTGCCAAAATGGGGTGCAATTCTTTATGCCTGTCTTTCTTAAGTCCACATTTACATATTAAAAGGGGTATATCACCATCAGACGTGCATTTAACAAGAGCCATGAGCTGAAGTGAATAGTAAGCACATCAGACGTATAGATTGGGGGTTCCAGAAGCAAAGTACTACTACAACAATGCATGGAAACAAGGGTAGCATAATCAGTTTCCAAAAGTTTCACTACTTTTTCAGTACTCTAGCATTCGGCTTTTAATCTTGTCAAAGGATGGGAAATCCCTTTCATTTTTGAGGGTTTTGCATCTTTTTTAAAAGGGACATGCTGGCAGCCTCCAGCAAGCTATTGGGTAAAGTAGCATCTATGAAGATACCAAGATCAGCGTATAACAAACAAAGTGCAAAGACTGAGAATCTCAATAAATGAAACACTGAAAAGAAGGGAGGGACAGACAGAAAAAAAGCACGAAATAGACCTCAAGAGAATGAAGAGACAGCGCCAGACAAAGATTAACAAAGAGAGGGAAGGAACTGTCAAGGGTTATGCTCCTGGGGCTGGGCAGGCAGAACCCAGCAGGCAGTGGGCGCTCCCCAGTGGCCCAGACTGCCTCTTACCTCCTGGGCGAGTTTCTGCTTGAGTACCAGTGCAGCGCACAGGTAGCCTGCGCGGCCCACGAACAGCTCGTCAGAGCCACACTCCAGGAAGGAGACCGGCGCGCAGACGGCGCACAGAGCGCGGAACTTGCCCAAGGGCTGCACATAGTCAGACCGGCCCAAGGCGTGGTACACTAGCGTGGCCACAGCATACACGCCCGCGCCCCCGAGCAGAAAGGCGGCGCGGGTGTCGGCGTCTGGCTCGCCCCACTCCTCAGCTCTGGAGCACGCGTCGATGAGGCGCTTGGCAGAGCGCAAATAGCGCTCCCGGGTCGAGGCGAAGAGTGGACTCTGTGAGACGTGGTAGAGCATGTAGGCGACCCCAGCCACGCCGCCATACAGTCCCCCCTGGCATCCGCTGGCCCCGGTTGCTGCCCCCCGAGCCTCGGTGGAACCCCCGATCGGGGGCAGCTGCTGGAGAATGCGCTCGATGGTGGCAGTGATCAAGGGCCCCACGGCTTCTTCACACTGGCCCGCCGGCAGGCTGCCCTGGTAGTCATCGAAGCGGTTGGCAAAGCAGCGCTTGGTGTCCATGCTGCCGCCGGTGTCCCCGGGCCCCGAAAGCCAAGTCTGGGACCTTGCGGGCTTGCGCGCTCGCCCTACAGCCCTGCACACCACCTTCCTCTCTGTGTGGCGCTCAGAAGGCGGTGGATGCAGCGAGGATGGAGCCAGGAGGATGAGAAGAGAGGTGACAAGAGGAGGCGGGTGCGAGGAGGACGCACGGAGCAGGTGGACAAGTGGAGCACCGGGTTGTCGCGAGGCTCCAGAATCTCCCGGGTGAATGTGGGGAATGTGTGTCGTTCGCCCCCCTCCCTGAGGCCACGCCTTCTCCAAACCTGATCTCTCCTGCTCTGCTGCAGCTTGGTGGCCTTTCCAAGGCGCCGAGGTGATCTCCAGCAGAACCCACGCGGGGCCCGAACCCCTCCTCCGGCTCCGCCCCCAGCTCCTCCCCTCAAGGTGGAAGGTCGGGACGCAGGGGACACCCAGCTGGAACGCTGAGTCTGGGCACACAAATACCTGGAGGTGGAGGTGACCACCCACCGTAAGTCCCTTGTATATTCAAAGTGTTGTTCTAGGTATGCAGGCTGCATCTGCACCACCTCCCTTTACTGTTCCTCGCCATCTAGTTTTCTGTTCATCTTTTTCTGGCACTATCATTTCTTCAGTCTCTAGTCCCACTTTTGTCCTTCTTTCCCCTTATCTTTTCAGTGTCTCAGTTATTGAGATTTCGATTTTCAGCCCCAGACCTACTGAATCAAAATCTTCCTGTCTAACAAGATTCCCAGGTGATTCACAAGCACTTTAAAGTTTGAGAAGCCCCTGAATTAGGATAGCATATCAGAAGAAACTGAGTGTCCTCCTTAGTTAATCATCTTTGGTGACTCTGGAGTTCTTATTCTGAATGTTTCAATCTCCAAGGCTGAGGAGTTGGAATACAACACCTTCAATGAATTAAAATAATGTAGTGCCCCATATGTAAACTTTTTCTTGGCTTGTAGTGTTCTTTCTCTTGGAGGATACAGAACTTAAAATTCAAAGAACTTCACGTGGTTAAATCAAAGCAGTGGATGATCCGCTTCCTCCTGCTCTGATCCCCTCACCACCCTCAATCCCACATATATTCTTCTTGCTGTTCTTAAATGCCTTCAAGTTTGTTCTGACTCATAGCGACCCTGTATAAGGTTTCTAAGGTGCAGCTGATGGGTTCGAACTGCTGGCCTTGTGGTTCACAGTCCAGTGCTATACATATGCATAGGAAGAACCAAATAAATATCTTAAGGTTATTAACTAGTTACTAACAAGGTAAATTCTGTATGAGAATTTAATTCAGCTTTTTGATCCCTTTCTACTCCTAAATTTCCTCTTTTCCTCCTTTCCCAGATATATTTTCCCCTACCTATCTTCTCTGGGCATTACTGACAGTCTCCTCCTATATGTGATGGATCCTGAGGATTGATGAATGAACAAAATAGCCATGGTTCTAAATCTATTGGAGTTTACAGTCCAGTGGAATAGACAGAAAAAGAATAATTGCAAAAACTAGTTATCTTCAGAGGTAAATACTTATTCCCCCCTATTGCTATAATAACTTCTTTTTCATTTTTTTTTTTTTACATCACACAGAGATATATTGATGTCCCGTATGTTTGTAAAATACAACAGAATACAGATGTCATCTCAGAAGCAAATGTTAAAAGATCTGGAAGTTTTATTTGACAGCACAAGTTAGCTGAGAACAAAGGGCGAGTGTCATGTTAACCATTGCATTGAGTTGGTTCTGACTCACAATGGCCCCGTATGATAGAGTATAACTGTCTCATAGAGTTTCAAAAGCCACAATCTTCACAGAGGCACACTGTCACAGCTTTCTCCTGTGGAGGTACAGGTTGGTTTGAATCATTGACATTTTGGTTAGTAGTAATGTGCTTTAAAGCTCTGGTAGCGTAGTGGTTACGAATTGGGCTGCAAACCTTAAGGTCAGCAGTTCAAAACTACCAGCCACTCTGCAGGAGAAAGATGAGGCTTTCTGCTCCTGTAAAGATTTATAGCCTCGGAAACCCTGTACAGGGTCGCTTTGGGTCAGAACCGACTCGACGGCACTTAACAAAAACAACAACAATGTGCTTTAACCATTGAACCAACAGGATTCCTTGTGTGTCATGTTGATTGTATTAATGTAATTATTTAAAAACTAACCACTTGTTGTTGAGTCGATCCAAACTCATAGCAATTCCATTTGTTTCAGAGTTGTTGTTGATGAGTGCCATGGAGTCAGTTCCGACCCATAGCAAGCAATCCTGTGTAGGGTGTCCAAAGAATGACTGGTTGGTTTGAACCACTGATCTTGCAGTTCAAACTGACCTTGCATTCCAGTGCATTATCTGGCAGCGCCACACCAGACATTTATTCTCATAGTTTAGGAAATCCAAATCCAGAGCACCGACTCTGGAGAAAGGCCCTTGTCTCCTTTCAGCATCTGTAGGCCCAGGATTCCTTGGAGTTCTCCAAGTGTCTTGGCATCAGTCTTCCTCTGGATCTAGGAGCCTTCACAGTGTGGTACCCCAGATCCAAAGGATGCACTCCACTCCCAGTTCTTCTATCATGGTATAAATAGGTCCTTCTTTCTCTGCTCATCTTTCTCCTTTCATCTCTCTCTCTCTTTTTTAAGTTTTTATTGTGACTTGAGTGATAGTTCACATGGAAGAACATCAGCTTTACCTTCATCCTATCATATTTCGTTTCATTGCAATAATTACAATCCTCTCCATGCATCATCATTCAACAGCATTTGCTTCCATTCCCTCTGTTTTCTGTTGTGTGTGTGTGTGTGTGTTTATGTACACTGAAGTGCTCAGGAATATATAACCATTCAAACAACCAAAGGGCATACCCTGCAAGCCTGTCCCCTGCCAACACACAGTCCCTCTCCCTTCTTGAGTCTAGAGTCCCCAGCCGCTCCATCTCTCCATGTCATGGTGTTTGCCTCCATCTCTGGCATCGCTGCTTCTCTGGATAGGGTCCCACTGCTTCTCCCTTGATGGTCCCAGGGTCCTCAGCTCCTGGACTGCAGAGGTAAATACTTTTATATACACAATCCTGCAGTTATGGTGAACTACAAGTAGATGCATGGATAGATATGCAGGCTGAATGGGTGTGGGAGGAAGGAGAGTAGTAGTATATACTACCGCTGGCGTGACACTGTAGGATAAGCACTGGACCGTGAGTTCAGTTTGAACCACAAGGTTGGTGGTTCAAATTCACCAGCCGCTCTTCAGAGTCGCTGAGTCAGAACCAACTCAAAGGTACTTAACAAAACATATATATACTTCTGGTGTGGCGCTGTGGATTAGCACTGGACTGACAGCACACCACAAAGTCAGCAGTTCAAATTTACCAGCTGCCCCTCGGAAACCCAATACAGGGTTGCTATGAGTGGGAACCGGCTCGACGGCAACCTGTTGTTGTTAAGTATCATCGAGTCGGTACCCACTCATAGCGACCCTGTATAGAGTTTCCAAGGAGCGGCTGGTGAGCTTGAACCACTGACTTGTGGTATAAAGCGACCTTGCAGTCCAGTGCATTATCCCACAGCACCACAAATATATATATGTATGGGGGGGGTAGGTGAGTAGGTGTGTATATATATACAATAAGAGGATATTTCTACATGTGTGGTGGTGGTGTGCTCTCAAATTGGTTCCAACTCATAGCAACCCTGTATAGGGTTTCTGTAAATCTTTACAAGAGCAGAAAGTCTCATCTTCTCCTAGCAGAAAGTCTCATCTTTCTCCCATGGAGTGAGTGGCTGGTGCATTCAAACTGCTGACCTTGCCGTAAGCAGCCCAAGTCTTAATTCACTACATTACCAGGACTCCTTTTCTATATGAGTATTTGCTGTAAATATATCCTTGATTGTGGTGCAGCAAACAGGGGACAAAGTTATGAAAATGTCTTCTTGTTGTTGTTGTTGTTAGGTGCCATTGAGTCGGTACCAACCCATAGCGACCTTATGCACAGCAGAATGAAACACTGCCCGATCCTGGGCCAACCTCACTACTGTTGCCACGCTTGAGTCCATTGATGCTGCTACTTGGCCAATCCATCTCGTTGAGGGTCTTCCTCTTTTTCTCTAACCCTCCACCTTACCAAACATGATATCCTTCTCCAGTGACTAGTCCTCCCTGATAATATGTCCAAAGTATGAGAGACGATGTCTTAGCTAGAACAAAACATCTTGAAGGAATAAGTCACTGGTTCTAAGGGCTCAGGATCATGGTCTATGGGGACACCAAGGTCAATTGGCATAACATAGTGCACAGAGACAATGATCTATACCTTACTTTAGTGAGTAGGGACTGGGGTCTTAAAAGTTTGTATGTAGCGATTTAAGGTCTCTTCCCATTCATAGCAAAGAAGAGTAAAGAAAATGGAAGACACATGGAAAAAGTTAGTCCAATGGACTAATGGACCACATGAACATCAATCTCCATGACCCTGATACCAGAACTAGATGGTGTCCAGCTACCACAACCAACTGCTCTGAAAGGGGCCTCATTAAAGGTTCTGGATAGATTGAGAGACAAGTGTGAAACAAAATTCAAAATCACACACAAAAAAATAACAGGCTTGCTGGTTGGATAGAGACTGGTGGAATCCTTGAGACTTTGGCCCATAGTCACCCTTCAGATCTAGAACAGTGGCTCAATTTCCAGCCAAACAATAAACAGTCTCTAAGGTGTGGCGCTGAGGGTTAATGCTCCAGACTGCAAAGCCATTTGAACTGCAAGGTCGGCGGTTCAAGCTCACCAGCTGCTCCTTGGAAACCCTATACAAGGTCGCTATGGGTCGGAACCAACTTGACAGCAATTAACAACAAACAACAAGGGGAATAATGGAGTCCTGGTGTGGCGCTGTGGGCTAATATGTCAGACTGCAAAGTCGTTTAAACTGCAAGGTCAGTGGTTCAAGCTCACCAGCTGCTCCTTGGAAACTCTATACAGGGTCGCTATGGGTCGGAATTGACTCAATGGCAC